GTTAGTCTTTGTGCTTAGGTTTCCAAGAAGCTCTTTGCCATAATCATCTTCAAGTCTGCAGGCCTTGTCCCCTCATCCGTCAAAGCAAAACGCCTCATCATTTTGACAGGAGCTTAAATGGGATCTTGGACCCTTCTTCCTCTCTCCAAACCTACTCCCTTGGTCACATTATCGTTTCCCCAGATTACACACTTAATACTGGGTGGTTTTATCAATAGCTCCTGTCACATTATTAGCATTCCATGTGTTGGTCTTGGTCGGTGAAAGCTGTATAATGTGATCTAACCTCCTATATTATACCTTTGACCTTTGCAAAACTTCTGGCTACACTGCAGACGACACTGGCTAATATTCTCTTGAAACCACTAAATGGCATTTAAAATCAATCATGAGTAGGTAGAGCAGTAGCGGTTCATTACATTAACATTGCAAGAAGATGGTCCCAGAGACACAAGTCGGGTGAAACAAGCCTGCAACTTAATGCGTGATATGCAGCTCAGCACATGAGAGTTTTAGTGACAGCTCCTTGGTTGTATTTGACTGCATGTTCACCGCTACCTCACTGTCTTTTAGTTTGTCACGTACAGAGTATTCCACTTCAGTTGTGTGGTGAAAGATGTGCACGAGCATTTGTGTGTATATAGCCCTCATGCCACTGCATCACATGCACTTGTCATCCCAGTATTGTTAGCTACATGTGATGGGCACGGTACAGACAGTGGGTACTGAATTAAACTCTTACCCGAAACCCTTTATGACTGAACTGTTTACAGCTGAGAGGCTCGTACAGCATCCTCCCACTGCTGACCATAAATACTGACACGTGGTATATAGAGACTGCAAATTGTGTTGGACATGTCCATTCTTTATTGTCTGAGGTTTACAAACATTGTAATTTTAACTCTTATCATAATAGTACAACTGTGTTGTTAACTCAGCATACAAATATTGTGTACAAACTTATATTATGATGGGTTGGATACTAGTCAGCATGCTTCTCTGTCTGTTATAATGCCTGGGGTTAGTTTTGGTTATTTACACATGTAAACAACGTGTATATACTATTATTTGAGTAGGTTGAAAGCCCACCCTACTCGATACAGTAAAACAAAATCTTGCCACATTGCAGAGCAATGCTACACACAAGTAATATGTCATTTTTTCTTGTGAAGAAGAGGAGTCGATAGTTTCGATTTCTTTCTCATTGGACCATGGCCATGTTCACCTGTTGCCTGTGAAGTAATACATCATAAACCTGAACGTGGTAACCATAAAAAGCACTGAAGTGGAAACACTAAGTGCAAGGAATGTGCACACGTGTTGATCTGCTAGCTCACACGCATAATTGATGGCCGGGCCCACGTTACATGGTCTAACCTAGAGCCAATTTCTCACTCTAACACAGACTAACTGAATCAGAGGGTAGAGAAACACTGCACTCAATACACATCCTCCGAGTAACTAACTTCATCCGTTCATGATGCGCTTAATAGTCAAGGTGAGCCTGTGCTGATTATGTATAGTCTCTTTTTTTGCTTGTTTTCACGCCATCTCTCCTAAATGCAGTCATTTCAGGAAAATCAGCTATTTTTTCAGGTTCTTGTAGTTCTGAAGCGGTTGGTATTGCTGATAGGCCGCTTTTTAGCCTATAGTGCCAGACAAACAGACAGACAGAGAATAATGTAAACCTTGCTGCACATGCACACAGAATAGTTAATAAATAGCAGCCACAGCGCAGAGCCATTGACGACGCACTCAGACGCTGTGGATGTGCCTGCAGACAACCAAACTTACCCAGCCCGTGGCAACCCTTTGCATGTGTCCAGGTGCACTATGAGATAGGCACAATTTTACGCTAGGGGATAACTTATCCTTATCTTTTCTTAACTCCCAGATACTCGGAATATAACCTTTAGCAAACTCAAGCAGAGAAGAACAAATTGCTTCAAAACTCAGCATGTAACTACTTTTCACAGACTATCAAGAGACTCACAATTCTTTTCCCGAGAAGCTCTCGCAGGCATGACATTCCCAAAACACAAACTGACCCGTTCTCACTCATCATCATAAAAAGGCACCCCCCTTCTTCCCTCCCATCCACTTTGTCTACCTATTATTCCCAATTCCTCATTCAACCCATTAGTAGCTAACTGGTTTCGATATTATTATGCTAAATTTGGTTCACTTTTCTAGCATAGCTGCATAAGGTAGGAGGTCATCTATACTCGGAGGGCGTGGCACAAGCATGCACTTATTATTGTGCATGTGTGCCCAGCACGTGTGATCCTCAGAACTATGTCTAGAACTATGGAAGACAGTATGGCGTTGGCAGATGTGCATGTTAGCCTTTCCTCTGAGTGTGAAAAGAGCGACAATGATACTGCCTCAAACTAGAGCAGCAATCATGTTTATCATCGGAACAGCCTAGTCTGCTGGATCGGTTGAAACGGCCTCTAGATAGCATCAGACTTATCCCTTGCAACCTCCATAAGGCACAAAAAAGGGCAAAGGTGGTCTTTGCAAAAAGCACAATTCTTCTGCAACTTAAATCAGTAACGCATGCATCAGGAGTTGTGTGTCTGAAGCCAAATGAGAAAAAGGAGAAGAGAAATACTCAACAAGTACGACAAAAAATCATTCCTGTTGCCTAGGAAGTGCCTGATCTACAAGCTACTTGAAAGCTGGTGAGCCACAAACAAAGTGGATAGCTGACTTTCTAGAGGAGAACTCTTAGTCTGTGAGCAGTTGTCATCTTGCAGAAATGTTTTGCCAGGAAGAACAACACCCATTTGTGAAGCTGCATTGTGCTTCAATTTAGTTTGATATGAATATTGATGAAAAGCAGCGTGTTATGCTTCCAGCCAACTCAATGTTACCTGAAAAAGTAGCACGAGAACTGATTGTGACATTTTTGTTCTCTTCCTATGTTGTACAATCAGTGATTGCTGTACCATTATACCAATAAAGGTGTCCTATTTGCTAAGGCAACACGTACCAAGTAGGTGGCAGCATGCTCCATTTATGGTCGTTATTAAATACTATACAAAACACCTAGCACACAATGCCCAAATGGCCCATACTCCAGTAAGCACGTACTTTTCGTTTACTTGCTGTGGCTGGTGATGGAAGTTTCGTAAAAAATGAATCTAGTCGCCCTTGTGTTGCACCCTCTTTACATTTTTCAAGTTTTCTGACCCCATTTCTGATACGATCCTCACTATATGCACAAATAATTTCATTAAGAGAAAAATTTATTATTACACACCTGAAACCTTTATCTTCAACCATAAACTGAACAAGGCCAGCTTCATCTGGTTTTGACCACTTCAACTGCATAAGAAAACTATTTCAATCGTACAAAAACTGATATGTTACACAAACCTCTACGCTGTCTGCTTTAACAACCTCAGGACTCATAAATAACTGCCGTGCCTCCTATTAAAAGAGAGAATTGTTATACTGACGTGGTATATAGGTTCATGCGAATTAAATACCTATGAGCTTATATTATTAAGCACACACGCACGCGCACTCTGGTCTTCTGGTTGTAAGGATGACACTATAAAGCATCAAGTTACTTTGGAACTCACTAGAAAGTGCCTTTTTATTGCATAATCCTAGTTGTGGATCAACCTATCCTCACCACCACCTCATCAACCAGGCCCCTCACTGAATGTGTGTTCTAGTAATGACAAGAGCCACGAAGTGTTGGTGCAGGCTCATCTCTTATTTAGACACCAGATCAGACTCCACAAGCATGCATGCATTGTTCCTTGCATGTAAACATCAACGAGGCTGCAAGGCCAATCAGAGCACACTACATATTAAGGATGACTAGAAAGAAAGAGCTGCACTGGGTGGGATTCGATTCTGCAGTCTTGGTAGTGGACTCTTACCTACTGAGTTGTATACCAGGGCAGCTCAAACAGCAAGAATGATGGCGACATTCACTGGCTTTGGGAGTGTATCCTACGATCTTAATATCCCTTTAGTACGTACATGTACACATCTCTGCCATTTAGTTTACACATCTGTTCTGTGCATTTCTGTCGTTCATTTTTTCTACCATCATTTGTATTACGGTACATACAACAACACAAATTAGTTTACCTCATAGGGCCAGTTTTCAGGAAAATTCAACTGTAGAAATGACACTATGGTAATACATAGAGAATGTTGTGTGTAGTATGACCTTTGGATTGTTGGACATTATCTTCTCAATTGATCCATACTGGCGAATCAAGCTTAAGCCTTTGGCTGGTCCAACACCTGGGAGTCATATTGATTATTAGAGCATTGGCAGACATTTTATACAGGGATAGCACCGGTACAGTCTGCATAGTGAAACTATGGCCAATCCTGGCCGTCCTGGTCGAAGTTGCAGTGGCTCACCAAAGTATTGCTTACCGGTCACTGTAGCTAATGGTTTCCAGTATCTGCCTCTTTGCCTATGACCACACTTGCAAGCTAATGGAAGGTTGGACTGGTCTGTACATCTCAGGCACCGCTGTGGAAAGCTTCACTGGCTCTCACGGCTCATATTCATCTCTGTTATGCTGTATACCAACAGTCCAGGTCACAAACGTGTTGAAAAAACTTAGCAGGGCACAGAAGTTAAGCAATCTCTGGTCCCCTGCTTGGTAGATGGGCTATAAACTGGGTGAAATTGGTGTCTCCTGCACACTCGATATGTGAAGAGGGTGTGTGTAACATTGGCGCCGTGAGTGTGGACCAAGTAAAGCACGTGCGTAATGAAATTTGTGTGAGGGGGATACAATGTGTGTCATACATGTACGTCCTCTCTGCTCTGCAGTGCATGCCGAACAATGCCATTTTCTGCTAACTCAGCATGTACAGGAAAGGCATTTATATACCATGGCGGTTTAGAGTCGCATGATGGTTAGCTGGAGCTTCTTCTACTTTCCTTCGGAGTGAATTGCCAGAGTACTGTACTGTGTGTTTCATATCTATACTATAACTGCCCCGCCTGGCCACTAGGCCAGTGAGGATGCAGTGATTGGCACCTTTTTCACGTTGTGGCGGACCCTGAAAGTCTGTAAAAATATTGAGCTGTATTCAGGGGCTGCCGTGCTATTAGAGCATTGGTAGGCGGCTTGTTATTAGTGTTGGTATGAAGGTCAACCTCTCTACAAAATGTGCACAAGTAAATGTCATGTAGTCAGAGCTGTTAATGAAACAAGTTGATCTTAAAAATAAAGGAGGGTGTAGGGATGACAAGAAGTACGAAAAGGAAAGGGAACAAGGGTTAGTTAGAAAGTAAAGAAACAAAAAGCAACATGACACTCCCCACATCTTTTTCCTCTAGACTCATAGGCAAAAATGTCAGACAAAGATACACACATGCATAGGGATGGTGTCATGTAGTTTTGTGGGTCCTTGTTTTTTTTGGTGCTTAAGCCATCCCTATATCCACCTTGATTTTTCCACTTGTCTATGGTATGTATTACAATTACACTAACCTTTTACAGAATCACAATAGTCACAACCCAAGAGTATGCATAAATCAACAAACTGTTGGTAAACCAAGAATGGGTATGAGCTTCCAATGGTGTACATATCAGAGTGTATACACGCACCTGACTTTGAGTCAGCCCAATGTCAGTCAAGAGATGATCCAGAGTTATTTCTCGTATTGGTAGTTTCCTACAGAAAGAAACATAATACCATTACTTAGCTTAAAGCATGAAAAGCACTAGGAGCACTACAGCATAAGAGGAACATGTGTGCACACATTATCAACTTGTGTTTTGCTACCTAACCTTGTAGTTTCAACAAAATCAATGCCTAAACAGCACTTAGCCTTTGGTATTGTCTCGCTGGCTGCCTAGTAGACTGTAGTGACATTACTGTGTGCATATGTACAGTGGTAAACTTCAATACTTCTGTTCACTAGCTGTCAAATGGCGAAGTAGTATGGAAGACCCAAATGTAAGAGCATCCATATCTTCAGTTGCTGTAGCAAAGACTTTCCCACCTTTCACTAGTTCAGCACACTGTGCTTCAGCTTCACACGGAGCCTAGAAACGGTTCCACACCCATAAACAAACCACAAAATACCCATACTGTGCTATGATTGCAAACATCAATTTCTCTAAGCTCACTTTAATGTAAGGAATCCCCATCAATGTTAGTAGTCTCTGACAGTCTTCACTGTGTTTCGGAGTTACTTTAACCTAAGATAGAAGAAGATCAAGGTCTGCATTAAAGTTAATTTTACCTAAAATACAACAAAAGAGGTAAACAATGAGTTTTACACTAGGCTGCATTTAAAAAGGTCATGAACACAACTGTGTATACTTGTGAAATTGTGTTTTGCACATTCTGTAGCATATCAGTCTAGCTATACAGAAGTAAAGAACAGAGCAACAAAAAAGCAACAAAGGCCTTAGCTAATAAAACAATACACTAACAAAATGACTTCCTAAAGTAGCCCTACAACAGATGATGAGAGGGAGGGTTCAAAATTCCCAGGAACAAGAAAATATATTTTCCAATTTTAAGGCTTTGTCATTACATGAGTTCAGGTTGCATACATTACTACAGGAGCAAAAAATGCACATTAAACAGAAGTCACGCACGCATTCGTGCATATGTGCATTCTACGGTGTTAGTTTGACAACATGTTGGGAGGCAAAAATTCCTACATGTCCTGTTCCATGTAAATGTAGCTGGTATGCCTGAACATGGAACAGGGTTTTTTTGCAGCAGATGTACACTGGTGCAATGACATAGTTTTACAGTTCAGAAGTGGAGGAAAGTGTGGGTAATTCTGGCACAAGTACAAAGTATTATGCGTATGAATATGTACTCCTGAACGTGCATTAACTATAGAGTAATTGAAGCCAGGAGAACAGTTATAAACACTAAAGTGTAGGGACCAAGATGTCAGGTCACACCATATTTGAAATGGCTCTATGAACACGAAACTTAGCAAACTGCGCATACACAGTACCGCTGGTTGATGGGCTGGGCTATTAGTATGCATTTACTCGTGGTCTCCTGATAGTAGTTCGCGGAGAGAGTCTAGCTACAGCAATACGTAGCATGCGGGTGTCGATACACATGTCTTGCTGTGACTTCTTGTACCTCCAAGGTACATACACAGAGCAAGCGGACCCGGTCTAGGTGTAAGCCTGTGCTAATTAGCATATTGGCTTGTTCAATTGGTTTTCATGCCATAACTTTAGAACGCAGTATTTTGTAATGAAAATCACAATCAAGGCAGTGTAACATTCACTACTATCGCTCTTCGCCAATTTCATGCAGGTTGTGGCAGAAAACGTGGTAAAAGACAGACGCACTGACGAACCAGGTACCGTAGCCCTCGCTGCGCATGCATGCCGAGGGTTAATTATAACACAAGAAGGTATCAGTAAAACTACTTTAGCTCAAGCTTTACTGCATTACAACACTTGAATCCTGCTAACAACCAACACAAACATCACTTACCATTCTTTTTTGAAACCTCTCAACATTTTCAAAATCTCCTGCAATTGAACAGGCACATAACAAGGACAGCAGTAATTTGGCTGTGATTAATGAATATTATAATTTTAGTTATTGAATACGAAGTAATAGCCAGATATTCCCTTCGCTTTAGGATGGTTTGGGTACACTCAAAGGGTTTAAAGCTACAACACACAAGGACCCTTAACGCTCAGCCTTCGTTCAATCCAGTGAGATCAGTTCCTTATGCGATACAAGACCCTGCTGATTAGGAACTCCAACGTCTTCAAAACAAAGAAAAACTCGAACCAATTGAAATCTTTGAATGGACGGCGCTAATCGTGGATTTCCTCAAGCAAGACCAGAAAACATATAGATTTGTGGAGATTTCATTGTCACGGTCTCGAAACTTGATGATACCCAATCCCAAAAGTAGAGGACTTGTTCGTACATTTTAGTAACAGGAGGTACTTCTCATGGATGACTCCAAGTATGTGGTCATCAAGACTCACAAGGGGGCTTTTCCGGTACACTAGTTTGCCATTTAAAATCTGCTCAGAGCTTGGAATCTTCAAATATGTCATCGAGAGTCTGTTGCAGGGCTTCAGTGTGGTTGTTGTGTACCTGATGTCAGTGAGTATAAAGGAGCAGTATCTGTCAGCACTTGAGAAAGTGCTTAACCGACTGGATAAGGCAGGCCTGAGGGCAAAAAGAGAAACTGTGAGTTCTCAAGATTGTGTATGACCAAAGATAGACTCTCAGGGTCTCCACCCTCTATTATACTAGGAGTATCAGAGATGCACCAACCCCACATCAGTGTCCAAGTTGAAGTCTTACCAGAGATGTTGACCTGCTACAGCATAATTCTATAGAATCTCTCGTCTATCCTCCATATAACGTCCTGCTCTGGTAAGATATGAAGTGGCAATAGAGTCCAGATCAAGAGAGAGCATTTCTCGCCTCGAAAGAGTGCCTAATTTCCGCCAAGTTTGTCACCCACTCAGGGATGGTATAAAAAGCAAGGAGACATGACCTAGTGCATGTGATGACTGGCTCAGCTGACATTGCAAGCCCTATGTCATCACAACTTTTACCCACAACAGGAGTTTGTTTAGTACACAGTGTGTTTTAAGCGTAGGAAAAGAAGGGATGCAGCATTATAAGTTTAGTAAACAGGCACACAATCCAGTCACAACCCAAAATTAATCAGAGATGTTACAGTTGTTTTTACCCTTCTCTTGGGCCTCGGCCAAATTCTTCTGTGCTTCTGCTCTTTTTTCTGACCTTTTCACCAGCTGCAAATGAATAAGAGTACAAACATTTCCACCCATAATTATAATAATGAGCAATGGGATGAGAAAATAGCTGTGCATCTGGTAGATAAGGAAGGTTGCACTATATACGTGTTACTTAGGTACTAGAAAATAAGCTGTCAGTGTAGTCATCTGTTTTCCTGCCTGCATAACCATACTCTAAATAATTATTGCAGCAGGAACATGGTTCCAGACCAAGGGTTTGCACTTTTGTGCCTTCCATTATTATTAACCCTCAGCTACAGATGCAGTGACGCTTATATGTAGTACTGTGTGTGTGAACGTAGTGATCGACCATTTGTTTTGTTAAAGCTAATAACATAACTAGCAAAAATCATTAGGATGTGAATCTTTATGCACGTGTTACTGCATCCATGTCATGACAAAGCCTTGTTTCATGGTAGAACATTATGGAGAAGAAACATTGGATCTTCCCTATGTGATAGCAAGAAGTGTACATTCAGCATAATTAGTCAGTATAATTACGAAAGCGCATATCTTTTTATAGTGAACATTAGTGATTTAATGCATACACACAAAATTAAATACTGATGCTTTTTACCTCTCCTGATTTCATATCTGGTGGTTTACCATCGAAGACGTACCTAGTGCCAAGTGAAAATTGACGCAATGTATTCTTGGCAAAAGCACCTTTCTTACACTGGTTTAATTCCATTTTCCACCATACGAATAGTCCGATAAAACATTCCCACCAGATGACTGTAAATGGACACAATAAACTAGCTCAGAAAACAACAGCTTGCATACAAACCTAGTTTCTTCACCATCACTACTTGTCAATACCCCATCACTAGTCCTTACTGCTATGAGGAATTGGTAAAGACACATTGACGCATCAACAGCAACTTTTCGTCCTGCAAAAAAGCTTTTCTGTGAATGGTAGCAAAACATGCAACTCACGGCCTTACCAAAATATGTTTTGATCCCATTGTCTTTCACCGAAGATGGGGAGTAGTCACCAATTAGTTTCATAAGGCCCTGAATACCCATGCTGATGAATTGCACCTCACGTCTTTGGCGGCACAAGCGAGCTGGTCACGCGGGCTCTGGGATATCCTGGCTCGGTAACTGGTACGAGCCGTGTGTACGTGTGTGGCGTGGGGATCTAGCTAGCTGGAGAGCTGATCGCGCGCGCGCGCTGAGCCTCTTCTCGGTGCGCATGCGTAGCGTATATAAGCTTGCATGCTCCGGCTCCAGCAGCAGCTCTCCACACAAAATAATCACCAAGAACAGGTGCCTGATTAAAAAATTTCCAGCACCTCAAACGGCTGGGGACCGTCTTTGAAAGCTGCAAAGAAGAGATGCAGACTTTTTAACCTCCTCTGGGTATGTGAGGTTCTCGCCGAGATCTTTATGCCATCCTCCTTTCAGGCACCTTCCTTCCAACACGGCCAAACACAGGATCTGACCTGTCAAACCCCTCAAACTCCCGCAGCATCACTCTTCACCCTGTCATCAGCAAAGTCTTTCAGAAACTTTTTATTAGCCGACGACTCCGTGGCAGCCTCAATTTCACCCATTGCAAGCGGTTTTAGGCCCAACATGAGCTGTATCTACACTGCCTTTTGGAAGGCTTTCATAGGATCCCTAGATGTGCAGAAGGCATTTGACGCTGTCAGGCATAACAGTCTTCAATGGATCATCATGTACTGTACATCCTCTTGTCTTGTGTAACTCCCAGACATTTCGTCCTTTCTCCCTACAACAAGGAGTCTACCCAGGAGCAGTCCTTTCTTTGTAAATGATTTGCTCAATGACTCTCCTCCTCAGGCCATGGTGTTAGCATCTACAGGCTCTTCTGCGGATCACCAATGTATGAAGTTCTGGTGAGTGAATCTAGCCATGGCCTCCATGCTCTTCATTTGCCCTGAACTGTAACTATTCGCTCCTGCACTCGAGTCCTCAGCTTCCTGCTTTAGAAACTGGCCTCTCAGGCGATGGCATGTCTCTGGGAATACAATCCCTGAGAAGGTCAGCAAGCACCATCTCGGAATCCTGCGCACTGTCTCTCCATCTATACTTTTGCAAGGACTTCTGAACACTGCAGTGGCAGCAGTGCTGGTAAAAGTGCCTTCTACAGTCTCAATGCAATAGGACAAAGGTTCGGCTGCCTGCATATTGCCACCACTATACAAGACCTTTCGTCTGCCTATGGCTGTGAATAATGGACCATCACCCAGACCGAGCTGCTAATAATAGGCATCGTAAGATCTTGAGAACAATCGTCGGCCCTACTCGATGCAATACCAGAGCACTCCTTCACTCACTAGGCACACTCAGCATGTTGCATGAAGGGCAACTCAACTTTCTCCACTCTTTCTCGTCCCTTCCTCCGGACTCTCTACCTCTGCAACTGCTTCTCTCTCTTCTCACTCACCCTCCCTCTGGTGCCAAAGCTATGGTCGTTGTCATCTGACCACCATGACCTTGGTGAGGTCGTCGCTGGCCAGTGAAGCAGCAGGGCAGGCTGGAAGAGCATGACGAAGAGACTGATGCTGGCTAAACAATATTTTAATGACCTGCAGCCACATCCCTCTCAACCACAATATGTCAGCCATCACCTCTTCATCATCCACCCAATAGGCTACTCTCCTTTAGTGGAGGCTACAAAGAAGAAAAAGATCCAGAGGAGGTTGCACACAATCAACATTCCTATAATGTAATCAAGTATTGTATACAAGAAAGGGGGTGTTTAAGGCAGGCCAATAACTTAATATTCCTCGATTGTGCCCAAAGTGTACTACGAACAAAGTGACTGTTGCATTGTGCAAGCATGCATGATTTGTAGGTAATGTTGTTGTATTGTCATATAATCATGCACATGCTGTACTGGAACATTCTCTGTGTTCTAGTGTATTCATGCACAGTTATTACACTGCAAACTGCGCATGGTTCAAAGGTCAATTGCTAGAGGAATCCAGGTTAATGAGGGAGTACATCTATATACAGTAGGTCAGAGTGACACCAGAAGTCTTGCATTATTATAGCCAAACTAACATCTCAAGGTAAGGGTCTGGCTACGTGAGACCACAGTCTGGATATGTCTAGCATTACTCTCTAACCTGTGTTTCAGGGACAGGAGAAACCTAGATCACACAAGGTTTGAGGGAACATCTGTATTGTACGCAACACAGCGGCACATGGCGGCATTCACTTGCTATAGGCTCGACTCCGAGCTATATAGGTATATGGTTTTCACTGAAGTGGCAGATTATACTAGCCCCATTCTCCAAATGCACTATATAGCTCCTCGTGCGGCGGACTGAACGGTCACATGCCTTTCCTGTAAGATAAAGATCACTTGGTATACACAACAAAATTCATGTAAACACATTTAGTTGCTTCGCATTACACACTGAGTCACTTTCCTATACGACCAAGAGATTGGTCAGTTTTAGGATCTGCTGTGATTCCTTGCACTGCCACTATTATTTCATTGACACATGTTTGCAGCTCACGTAACTCATTGATGTGTAGTAATCTCAGAACTTTAGCTGCTTCATTCAAAACTGGGTCACCAAGGTAAAACCCACATTCTTTTGCAGACACACTAAACTTCAAAGGAGAAGCCTTCGCTTCATTATCACTCACGCCATACTTTGTGTCCGAAGACAGTTTTTTCTGTATCACAATTCTTATAGACTCCAAGAGAACACTGGGGTCTGGATGATCTGTTACATGCAACAATTTTGATAGAGCTTTGACACCAGTCACGAATGTTTTATCTAGTGGATCGATGTCAACGGCACGCCTCCCCAACATTTCCAAAGACTCACTCACCCAACCAAGGCCACACTTCAATTCAGTGCGTCCACTACAGTTATCTCCATATACATACCGTACGGCCGCACCTAGCAGCCAATCAATTGCAATCTGTGGCTGTGCATCGTAACTATACGGACACTCCAGATCTTCGAGGTACTGCAAAAATGTTGTCCTCCACTCAGCTCCTTCGAGATTATGCAGACGTGCGCGATGTTCGATTTTGTAGTGCCGGATCTTTTGGTCCTCTAGCCATAAAACTAATACCTTCAGATCTCTAGTATCCTCCAGATTAAGAGTGTCGGCAGATGGGTGACCCAACGCCCTCAATTTTCTTCTGAACATTTTGGCCACTTCAGGAGCGAAGCGTGGGGGAATGTTTCCTACGGCGTAACCGGACAAAGGTTAAAGGTCAAACGTGTATTCTCTAGGTTGCAGCCTGCGTCTTCTTGCGTGCTACTAGTTGGGCTTGTGGCCTGGTGTTCGTGATGCCTTACGGGAGGGATCCGACAGTGAGAGTGTCGGAAATAACAGACGAAAATGTGAAATTTGTAGTAGAAAATACAGACCTAAGGTAACCACCATAAATATTTAATTTGCTGGATTGTAATGTCACATTATTCTCCAGTATGGCCAACGCACTACGTCGCGTGATGATATGTGAAGTGCCCACAATTGGTAAGCAAATTTTTTCTCAAAATTGGAGGTGCCGGTAGGTGGTGTCCAGTATACACTGGAAAAGTTCTAGGAAATGTTCATCTTTAATGGTTTTGCTTAGTACCATTTCCTGACCGTGTGCGCCTCTTCAAAAAGGTCACCCTGAATTTTTTCGCCCACGTTTGCGTAACAAGTGTGTACTCAGGGCATTAGGAATTGGAAGTGTTTTGGTAGCAATGCTTCCTGCCCACAAAATTTCTCATAAAACGTGAAATTCGTGCTGGTTCTGTTTTGCGCTGTCTTTTGATTATGACATATGTAATCACTAGGTGTGGTAGTACTTACAGTGGATTGACATGGTACCTAGAATGATAGAAGTGTGGGGCCAGAGAAGTTTGGAACCGGTCACGTTTAATCGTGCAGGAATTTAATCTGACACATGTTTGTAAACAACAAAAAATATGTATGTTTCATGCACTTTCATTAAAATTTCTTCTTCACTACGCTAAAGGTATAGTACACATGGAGATGAAACTTAGTACACATGAATTACATCATCTTTTTTACATTTGTAGCCTCAGGAAAAATAGAAAAGCACTAAAGTGCAATTGCACTTGGATGCCTTGGAAAAAGTATTTTTTTGGGTTGTCATTGATTTGTTACCTTGTCACTTGCTTTGCTTTCCTACCTACCTAACCTATGATTCATGTAAACAGCTCTTGCATGACCTAATGGGTTCGTGCAAAGTTTCATCTCTGTATCTTAGCGTGTTAACCCTCGGCGCGCATGGGTTACGGTAGTCGTTCTGTGTGTCTGTCTGTTACTCCTCATCTCTCACTTCACGGGTGCTCGTTCGTCTCAAAAAGGATACGACCTACTCAACGGGCAATGAAGGTCAGAAATATTGTGGCGATTTTCCTGAAACGACTGCGTTCGAGAGATATGCCGTGAAAACAAGCGAAAAAGCCAACATGCATTGTCTCACTGGGCTTACCGCGACCTGATCTGAAAAGTGGGATCTAATTAAAATTGAAAAATATCACTAAGTATGGTAGTACTTAGTATACAAGTAAATAAAAAATGGTGAATAGAGGGATGGTATAAAAAGCAAGGAGACAGGACATGGATGACCTAGTGAACGTGATGCAGTAGAACAATGGATGATGGCTACATACTTCGAACTGACGTCGCTTGCTCGTGTAAATTTTTTTTCCACACAAACCCTCTATTGTCGTGAAGTACTAGTGTGCTCCCTTGTATGATGCACAGCTACGATTTATTTTATAAGCACATTAGACAGGTAATACCATCTGGTCGGTTTTCAGTTGTGACTGCATTGTGTGAAGTCTAAGACTTCTACATTTGCTCAACTACAACTGCTACATTCTTCGGACTGACATCGCTTGCTCGTGTAAAATTTCCTCCACACAAGCCCTATATTTTCGCGAAGTACGAGTGTGCTCCCTTGTATGATGCACAGCAACGATTCACATTAGACAGGTAATACCATCTACTCGGTTTTTAGTTGTGATTGCATTGTGTAAAGTCTATGACTTCTAAATTTGCTCAACTAACCAGTTTTACAATGCTGCGTTCTTGGCCAACAGAATCCCCTCACTCATGTCAGTGAGTAAAGGTGGCAACAATATAGGGCTTGTGTGGAGGAAAATTTCCACAAGCAAGCAATATCAGTTTGAAGTATGTAGCCATCATCCATTTTACTACTGCATAATGTTCACTAGGTCATCCATGTCTTGTCTCCTTGCTTTTTATGGCATCCCTATATTCACCATTTTAGAATTTTTATTTTCTTGTCTTCTTTCCATTATCTACTGCATTCACATGCATGGATAGAAAGGGGATACTTTGGGGCGCAATGCCCATAGAAAAGTAACATTAGTGGCCTTAAGCCCTCAGACGTTTTGTTGTCATTCTATGTTTCTTGTTCATCAGCACACCAAGTTTCATTGTGAGAGGATAAGCAAGTTATAGGCACTTAACACCATTTTTAAATGTTTTTGCCGGAGGCTGTTTGTTGTTTACAACCTTATAATTTCTGTTTTGATGAACTCTTATCATGGTAAATCAGTGTACCAAGATACATCGTGAGAGGTCCCACCATAATAGGCACAAACACAGTTTACAAGTTTTTATTGCCTGAGGCTGTATGTTGTTGTTTACAAACTTGTAATGTTTACATTTTGATACTAATTATGGGTAGCACATGTGTACAAAGGTTTATCACTCTTGGTATTAGCTTTACCTAGTTAGCACACTTTATTGGTCCCTATCATACTGTATGGCCTGGGGCTATTTTTGTTAAGATAAAAATGCTCTTGCATGACCTGTCGTTGATTCCAATCTCTGTGCAAAGTTTCATCTCCGTATCTTTCCTAGTTTTTGAGATACGCTTGTCTAAACTGAACAACAACAACTTTAACAATTTTTAGTGTTTTTGCAAAAGATCATTTTTGGCATATACTATTTTAGCAATATTTGTCCCCACATCATTTGTGTCAAATAATGTATGAATGTGTGATGATGACAACCAGTCACAGTTTGTGCATGTATCCAATTTCATTCTTCTTCCAAGCTGACTCAAGTAGAACCACAAAGCTCTGCAAGGCCTTCTTTTTGTTTCCAGACTCCAGAGTAAAGCTCCAGTGGAGTATAAACACTACACGTATAGCGCGCGCAACTAACAGTGCTGAAATTACGCGGTATGCACGCACATGCGCAATACAAATATTGGTGCGCACATAGTTTAGTTTTTTTTATTTTTATGATTCTCGCTAAAGACGCTAAAATTATTTGCTGCAATTAATAGTAACCTTAGGTATGCACGTGTACCAAGTTTCACCTCCATATGTGCTACTATTAACAAGTTTGAGGAGTGAAGTGCCTAAGGCTATTTGTTGTAGTTTAGTAAAGCATTAGTCTTCATGGAAACTATGTATTACTCGTGTGTACAAGTTTCTTTTCAATGTGTGCTACAATTAAAAAGTAAGTGAAGAGTAGTTTGAAAGAAAACGCCTTAGGCTACTTGATGTTATTTACAAACATGTATTGTTGTGTATTTATACTGGTGACTACGTATTTTGTGTACAAACTATATCTCTTACCAAGTTACACTAACACATGAGGTTACACTAACACGTGAGGTTCCATTAACATGTATTGCCTGGGGCTATTTGTTTTTTTACCGTGAACAGCATTGTCTACAAACAAATAATATGACCATGCACATCTGGTTATGGATATCTTCAATATTACATACGTTATTTCGTTTGAGTTATGGGTGTTGAACCTGGAGATGTATTTACTTGTATAATATTAAGTTCATTGTTGCGACCTTTTTGTTTTGTATACTTCAGCTATAGCATGGATACATCTCATCAGCAACTCTACTGTTCTCCATGATGAGTTTATTGCTCACAGAATTGGTGAGTGTTTCACCTATCTTACAGTGCAAGGGGAATAAGGACTGATTGGCACATGCTTATGGAACAGAGAGCTGCATGGGCTCAATTAAGTATGGGACTCAGTATATAGATGCTCAAATTAGTGAGCAAACACAGAGTAGCTTCTCGTCCGTCTCTTGCACTCTCTAGGCAAGAAACAAACAGAACCAAACAATACATGATGCAAATCGTAATGGCACCGCTACGGCAAGCGGCAAACAAAGCGAACATTTCTGTGCAATAGAACTACACAATATTTGTTTTTTTTGGACTCGTACAGTTTTTGAATCATATTTTTATCTAGTACTCGAACCTAGCCCTATCTATTGCGCCATCAAATGCTGACTCTGAACATGTTGTGGGGGAATAATAACCGACTTTATTGCTTCATTATGTACATCCACAGTGTCTGCGCATATTTTCTGTCACCTCAACAATACATTGAAATGGTGCAAGCAAAGAAAATTTGATACAGCTCTTTTAAATAGAGACATGTATGCGTGAAAGAAACCAGCACAGTAGGCTAATCATTCTGTTTCGTTGTGAATATTTCTGTGCTATTAAGACTCATGGGTGCCTCTATGTGCTGGCATTTTTTAAACCTACGCAACACCTTTTTCTTTATCACTTAGGGTTGGTGCCCCTTACTAGCGATGACATCGTTGAGCGTCTTCAGTACTCTAGAGTAAGTGTATACTTGTCTATTTTATTCATTGTGTTCCCTAACTGTGACTTCAAAGTACAGTGCCACCCTTTTTTCAGAGTGTCCACATGCAACAAACAGTGCTCAGTTTGTACTTCTTTGTGCAATAAGTGCATCAAGGCAACCCCTCTAACCCATCCCCCTCCCACCAACTAACTTACCAGCAATTAACCCCTGAAATAAGGGCACCTCACTACTTTTTCTTTCCCGATGGTTTCCAGATTGGAGGGATTCCACTAAGCACAGTACATATTTGTGGTATGGTGCCTAGTGTTTGTCTATTATACCTCAGTGATCTCTCCCTCTGGCTCACTCTTCACACAGTCTGGGTCTGATTGCATGACCTGAATAATTGAGTCCAGGAGTACAGATTGTTGCGCAGTAGACGTGGCACGGATTTTAAAACTATGCTCGTGAAACAGGCACCACAGGTCACCCAGTGGGGGAGGGAAAACCCCAAAGCGATCTGCACAATAATGGCTCAGACATGAGAGATGTGGCAGAGACCCCGAATGCATAGCAAAATGATAACTATTGCTTCAGGCCCGACTGATACGTCCTCAGTGTTTTTTGGCTAAACTTCAGCTACAATAAATGAAACAGCTCCATTTAGTGCCGATATGTCGGGCTCATGGTAGTTACAGTGGTAGACTGGCGGGGACGGGATCCGGTCAGTGAAGACTAGCTCGGGAGAGTAAATTGCAGCTACAGACTCAATCTAGATAGAGAACTAGTGCTGCATCCAGGGTTTGCAAATTGGTGCTTTATCATATTGCTATTATGCCAGTTCCGCACTGAACTTGTTGGAACGACTTTTTTGTTCCATAATTAACAAATATTAAGGTTGTAACCGTAGCTGGACATGTGTGTCAGGGCTTTATTCAGGGGGCCAACTAAGTGTCATAGTTTCATTCATAAGACTACATTAAACATCTTTATTGGAATTGTGATTTAGGTATAGCCACAACTTTACTGTGGGTTACCTGGCTATGCCAAAGTAATAAATAAGAGAATGTATGGATTGGCTTTAGGCATATCTGTGGGTCTTCCGACTGTGCTTAGGTTTGAATTACGTGCTTCTATAGATGAAGCCTGAAATATTTTTGCAGCTCCTCTAGTCAGCTAAGGCAGAAGCAAAAGTGGCATTTGAGGTTCTGTAGAATGAGGTTCAAAAGTGTACACTAGTCAGGCACCTCGTATGGCAGAGGTGGATCCAGAATATTTTCAGGGGCGGAATAACTAAGCCTTGCTGATTATTATCAAACAAAACCTACATAACACTCACCCATTGTCACCATGCACAATAAACTATCATTTACAACAATCGTTCAGTGCATTAGCCACAAGCAGTCTGCGTGGATAGAGAGATACAACTCTTGAACAAATTCATCTGCAGTAAGCGGTATATCGCCATGAACTTGCAGCTTTGCCAGCCAGCCAGTCTAGTGTCAGTCATGGTACTATGAGCAACATGCTTATACATGTAGATCGCCCAACATTCACAGCGAGTGATGGGCAATGTAGCAAGGATCACAATCAAAGTACGAATGTTTCAAATCTAGTCGTGGTCTGTAGAAGGCAACACTTCTGCATGTGTGTCTAATTCTGTAGCTTTCTCAGAGTCACCAGTCCACTTGTTCTGCGACAGGTCAAGCTCACATCAAGCGATCTCACTGACGGTGGCACATTGCCATAGAGTTGTAAGACAGCACTGAAATTCTCTGGCCTTAGTTGAGTTGTCATTTTAGCAACCTGTGATGATAGTAACTGCATGAACCCAATTGAGTTCTGCGAACAACCAGCATCAAAATGAGAGTCTGGTTCGGAACTGAGGTGGTCTAAGAGTGGAATGGTAAGCATACTGCTTGATGGAATATGGATGAATGGTGCTGCTGTCCGCTTGCTTGCCTGGGTGCTGTCTCAACGACTTCAATGTTCAGACTCAGCATGAGGACCTGTTTGTATACTTGTGAGGGAATGTGTCCACCCTTGATCGCAAGCCTTTGATTGTTGCCTTCACTGTCTCAATTTCTTGATGGGCACGAACAACATCAGTGTAACACCCTTGTACGTAGCTTTACACTAAGCCCTTTGGTGTAGGCCAGGACTTCCTGAGTAAACTATAATGCAACAATGAATGAGAATCGTGACAGCCAGTAGAAACGACTGAGCATCCGGACGTGTCTCCCTATTCCAGGCAGATGATGAACTGTAGACAATAGTCTCAAAGCAACAAGTTGGCAAGAAGAGATCAGAGAAAACCTCAAATGCTTCATGGCGTTCGACCCAACGTGTTTGGCAACGTTCTCAACCGGTTCTCTTCAGGTGTCGTGTGCTCTCGATCCACTTTTCCGACAGAACTTGCCTTTTCGACAAATTGTTGAACCCCACAAGTGGGGAAACATTGTTACGAGGAGGAACAAAATGTGTAGAGAAAATAGTCACCTTTTCATGGTCCGTAAGCTGTCTTTTAGCTTTTAGCTGTGCAACTTGCCCAAAATCACCGGAACTAATAGCTGCATCCACACATCACTCAGAGAGGTACTAGGGGTGGAATTCTCTTGTTTTACTGTCAAGCTCACTGCAACTTGAACTTGAAGACGACTCTGATTCCCGCTCTGTACTTTTCTTGGCATTTGTACAGGCTCCAGCGCTACCTCCAGGCACATTGATCTCATTTTGAATTGCACTGTACAGAGGGAGAAGTATCAGTATACCCTGCCAAAAGGTACAGAGACTGCTAGGCAAGCTGTGGCATACCTGCTGCTGATGAAGTATTGACGAATATTGTTTGCTGCTACACTGCCTTTTGAAAACTCCAGTGTCCTTGTTGCCTCTGTTACTCCGATTCATAGCCAGTCAGGTCGTCACACACGTGGCAATGGTGCAATAGGCATGTGTGGGCTAAGGGAAGGGTGTGGCTCAACTCGCGTAAGGACAGAGTAGCAGCGCGCAGGGTAGTCTCGTTGATCATGACCGTGTACTGCAAAGTAGTGGGAAGGGGAGGGGGAGTTGGCCTTGCATTCCCCCCCCCCTGGATCCACCCCTGTGTGGTCCTGAGGTACACATCAGTTTCACAGTGTTTAAACAAGCCGAACTTTTGAAAATGTCATTTGCTGTATTGTTATTTACAGGACTGTTCATGCCAGGATTTCTGCCCTGATTGTGCTGTTGAGTTCACTCTGGATGTCAAGTGTGCAGATGAAGCTACTAGGCCTGTTACTACTCGAGATCTCATTTCTTCTAATGCAAAATGTGTACCAGTAAGTATGTGTACCAATAGTATGAATGCATACAGATTTAGCGTGTGTAGAGGGACATGCAAGCTATCCAGTTGTGTTGGTACAGTTCAGGGTTTATGTTTGCTTGAGGGGCAAACAAGCTGGACATTTGAAGAATAGTACAAGGTGTTGGTGAACTACATTCCTGGCAGTGGTTGTATAGTATGGTCTTCGATGGGGTAAATGAGCATGCTTCCCTGTAAAATAGGAATAGCTTCTCTTTCACCGTGAGTTTAATTCACTCACACGTTTTAGTGTAAATCCCCAGCCCCCCTCAACTATCCAAAAGACCTTTAAGTGCGACGTGTAGAACTGAGCGATTTCTCCGCCAAAGCTGAATTACACATTCGGACAACAAAGTGGTAATGGGGGTTTGGATGTATGCACTGCAGGGTTATATTGAATCCTCCTAATGCCCTTGGAGTGGGTTAAACGACATTCTAGACATTGCCATGAGTTTAAAGGGGTTGGTGTTGCAGGAATGAAATTGTACAATGGACAGAATACCAACTACTGCCATGTTGTCGCTGTAGCATCTTTCCCTCCAGTTACCTCTCCCATACTAACTGCGCAAAGATATGGGAAGCAACTATTGGCAGCAAGTCCAACTTCTTTGCAGGGCGACATTTTGGTTCGTGTCCTCTGTCCTAATATTAGAGGTATCCTTTTCTAGGAGATTTTGTTATGTGCAATCAGGAGGATGGAATTAGTAGGCCGCTGGTACGGGTGGCATGGTAGCTAAGGCACTGACACGTCCACAATGGACGGATGGGTACCCAGATCATAGTTAGATGTGGCAGAAAACCGGGAAAAAACACCGTGGCCCACAAAACATTGAAGGAGACACCCACAATCTCATGACGTCCGCTGTGACAGGAAGGCAAGTGCTTAATGTAAAACGTAGCATAACACTACTATGTCGGGGACAAAACCGGGGCTTGAAATTTGCAGGTGCCGGAGCAGCAACGTCACGAACTGACATAAACAATGCTCAACAGCTGGTAAAGAGGAAGTATTGATAGATGCCCAAAAGTTCAAGGCGCGTGTCTGGGCAGAGCAGTATATATGTCCTCGATGTAGATGGGGCTAGTGCGTTGTTATTAACCCTCGGCGGCGCGTATGCGCAGCGAGGGTTACGGTAGTCGTTCTCCGTGTCTGTCTGTCTGTCTGTCTGTCTGTCTGTCTGTCTGTTACCACGTTTTCTGCCACCACGCGCAACAAACATGGCAAAAAGTGACACCAACGGGTTCAGCGCTACACTGGCTTCATTTTAAAACTGACGATTTTCGTAAAAGTACCGCCGAGGGTTTAGCACTTCAGTGCCTTTCATTCTAGACGTGAACCAGTCTATCCTGTCCTCCAACTTCCAAAATAGTTGCACCCCCAGCTGGATGGCAAGTGGTACCGGAGTTGGCAATTGATCCGCTGAGGAAACCTGTGTAAAGAAGAATAGTAGTTCAATGGGAAACAGGGTGTCAGCCAGGATGCGCTTACAAACAATAAAGCCCGAACGAAACTGGTTGCACAACGGAGGCTCCTTAGCCATGCCTCTCGAAGTCACCTCTGCCACTAACGAGTTATCGCAGTGGGCCAACACAGTTGACCCCTTCCGAAGGTGACCCTACACCTTATAGACACCGGGATCGGTTACTATGGCCCCAATGCATGAATCTGTGTGATGGGTATACACAGGTTGCCTCACTGGCCAGATGACTTTGAGGTAAATGTGCAGATATGATGCCCCACCGAAAATCGCAAATAGTGCGACAGTTGACGATCTGAGCCTGGAGTAATAAACCGAGTGTATAGGTTGATGTCATGCTTTGACGAAGACTTACATATTCTCAGTTACTGCTGCAGCCACTTGGAAGTGGAAGTTATGTCATATGCCTGCCATTGTTAACTGTCTACTGCTGTGAGGCCTTGTAAGCTAATACCCCAGGAGCTCTGCTGAACCACTGAGTGGCAGTGGCGCCCATGTCAGTGGAGTCTCAGACGCGTCAGAAGCGTGGGCCGTCGTGCTGAACAAAATGAATGGTAGTCTGGCCTCTCAGTGCAAGCTCTCCGGAGAGCGGGTGTTCATTGGCAACAGGCTCCCGACAATCCCAAAGGATAAGATCCAGAGTTTCAGTTGGTGGTTCCCGCCGTGTAGACGGAGAATGCTGTGACACACACTCGATGATCAACTCCACCTGCCTCCGTTTAGGCGACACGAGTTCATCGCCTAGGGGCAATGTGAACTTCGCCCGGGTGTCAGTAATCTGATTGTGCAGGGAGTGCAAAGGGAGCAAGTGTACGAGAACCACCAACTGAAACTCTGGATCTTATCCAAATGAGGCTTTGGGATTGTCGGGAGCCTGTTGCCAATGAACACCCGCTCTCCGGAGAGCTTGCACTGAGAGGCCAGACTACCATTCATTGTGTTCAGCACGACGGCCCACGCTTCTGACGCGTCTGAGACTCCACTGACATGGGCGCCACTGCCGGCGGCCCACCAGAGGCTGATGATGCTGTGGGAAGTGCAAAGGAAGATGAGTGGGGCGGGCTGGACGCTGAGACCGGCAGCACCAGTACAGATGAGGGCATCGCACCCTGAATCGTGGAGCGTCTGGGAGACCTGATGCTGGAGCTGCAAAATAAAGAAAGCTCACTTATGCACCCCCACCAGGGCACCCCACCACCCAACAAACGAATACAAATGCTTGGCACGGAAAGGGACAGCAGTCCCGATTGCACGACCAACCCTGGTAGCCAAGCCACTGCCTTAGCTACCGTGCCACCTGTACCAGCCACACTTCACAATGACGCTTCCATGCCACGGGTGCAGCCACGCTTTGCTGGCGCTACTGGACTATGCTCACTCAAATCCCCTACTAGGCTGCCGCACTTCCAAACCAACCATGCCGGACACACAAATGCCAAGCCACACGCCTGCATGCAACACCACAACTGCCACAAGTGAGCTGTGCGGTCTGGACTGCTGCCCCTTCCTCGCCCCCAAAAATAACAAAAAGTAGAACAGTAGTGCAAGCATACCCAGAGCGACAGTGCTCCCATACGTGACAGGCGGACTGCTGGACACTGGAGTGACTGTTGAACACACCACGCTGCCCGTAGTATCATTAGTAGCCCACGGAGAGTCTGACACGGGCGAGCTAGAGTAGTAGATAGCATGCGGGAGTCAATACATGCCCTTCGTTGTGACTTCTTGTGCCTTCAAGACACACAGAGCAAGCAGACCCGGTTGAGGTTAAGCCTCTGCTAATTAGCATATTGGCTTGTTCACTTGGTTTTTACGCCATAACTTTAGAACGCGGTATTTATATGAAAATTAAATCAAGCCAATGTAGCACTGAACCCATTACTATCACTCTTTGGCCGATTTCTTGCTCGTGGTGGCAGAAAACATGGTAACTGACAGACAGACGGACAGGCACACTTACTGTAACCCTCGCTGCACATGCACACCGAGGGTTAATAAACGCTTTTGCTGCTAGTGAGCAGAAATGACAACTGCCGATATTGCTAGATTGGCTTGTTCTTGAATCATTCGAATGAGCCGAGCACGCCATACTAATGGCCCACGCTCCCCTCGTTGCATTATCACTCCCCAGCGTGCGTTGCGACCTGAGCCGACAAATTAGATGTGTGTTAACATTGTCTAGCCAAGGCTAAACATCATGGTTACTATTGAGCATTTTCTTGGTTGTGCTGACTTGACAAAGACACCACCAACAGCATTCACACCCAACTCCATGTCACCGTTGACTTAGATCCAGTAGTGCTTTCAGCTTAGCAATCTAGCATCCAACATGTTACTTTGCTGCCACTACTGATGTTCATCATTCCACGTGGTTTACCTTCACATATGCAATTGTGCTACGCTGGTAACAGGGGTAAGTGTGTTTGGGAAAGTGTAGTTCTAGCTCTAATAGTAACTCTCCATTTGGTGTGACAGGCCCTTCTCTTCTGCGCATCTGATTCAGAGTATTTTCTCAAGGAGTCAGCTACTGTATTTGCCAGGGTATACGTACATCACTATTTGCTCTTAAGTGTACTGTAAGTGTCAGTGTCAGTGTCAGTGTAGACTGAATGTGTGATTTTTATTGTAAGGTGTGTGTGTGTATGAAATTTGGTTAACATCTAACAGGTAACTTCACGGCCAAGGGAGACAGATTCTTCAGATTATAGCCTAACTGATGGTAAGTTTTGTTTTTTAGGTAAAATATTGCTGCAAAAACCGACACAAACAGCTCACTGCTACAATGCTCCACACAAAGATACCAAGAATTCGGTGATTTTTTGGCCATACATAGTAGTGCACACACATAGCATATCATCGTGATCCCCATTCAATCTGGTCTGGTGATGAGCTGACACTCATGTGACACAATAAGACATAATAGAGACATAGTTTTATGGCACAGTGTACTATGGAGTAGTTACTGGACCAGAGCATGCAACCCTAGGTAGTGTTCATGTAATCCAAGTTTCAGACCGTAACTTCCAGTATTGTAGACTTTTGTGCCTAACCACTACTAAAAACGTCTCCATTATGTCTTATTGTATCATGTGAGTGTTAGACATCATGTTACTGTAATCCACAATGATTTGGGATGATATGTGTATTTGCTTGCTGTATGAAAGAGAAATTACTCCAGTGCTAGAAACTGAGAATTCTTCTGTCTTCGTGTAGAGCACACCTAGACATGAATTGTGAGAAAGGCATGGGTGAGTGGAGAGAGTTCACTGGTGATAAAAGACTCTTTAACCCACCATCCCTGGTACTCAAGGCCAGGGCACCCTTTTATGCCTAGGTCATGCAGTGTCGTGGGTTCGAATCCCACCCAGGGCAGCTTTTCTTCTTTTCTTTGAAAAGAAAGAGCTGTCCTGGGTGTAGTTGACTTGTTTGCCTTGCCTTGCCTTTCTACCTCGTTACCAAGTCGTTGATACGTCAGTTTGGAGTTGGGGGTCTTTGGTGGTTTAATTACCCCGGTCTGCTCCTACATACTGAGTGAGAGTGTACAGTGCCATAGCATAGTGATTTGCTGAGTTGCCCTGGTAGCTCAGTTGGTAGAGCGCTTACCTAGACTCCAGTGTGAGTGTCGTGGGTTCGAATCCCACCCAGGGCAGTTCTTCTTTTCTTTGAAAAGAAAGAGCTGTCCTGGGTGTAGTTGACTTGTTTGCCTTGCCTTTCTACCTCGTTACCAAGTCGTTGATACATGCTAGCTGACCTCTCTAATGATACATATAACCCTCGGCACGCATGCATAGGTTTGTCTGTCTGTGTGTGTGTCGACGCTCATACAGGCTATGAGGCGGCCTGTTAGTGATACCAGCGGCTTTAGAACTACGCGAGCCTGAAAAACAAAAGGGTGATTTTCCTGAAACGACTGCGTTCGAGAGATATGCCGTGAAAACAAGCGAAAAAGCCACTATGCATATTAGCACTGGGCTTACCTCGACCTCAGGCTTACCTCAGTTTTCATAAATTGAGATCCTGTCATGATCACATTTTTGTTTTAATGGGTTGATGCCCAGGAACATATCCCTGTAAAGTGCAATCAACACATTTGCACACACATGCGCGAATGCACCATTTTACATATTAAAACAATGTGTAAAGTCGCTGGATTGGTCATTACTAACTGAGCATTACGTAACAATTACATGAAATTGTACGCTATGTGCTGTTGAATGTTTCACTATGATGGCCCTGCCCCTTCTCAAAAGGAGCCCGCCTGAGCGCCGTCCGGTCAGAAGTTGCGCCTCAGTGGATATCAAATCCAACTTTCTTTCAATGCGGGAAGTATAGGTTAGACGCTGAGCTGCGGGAACTACGCGATTTAGTGAGCCGAGGAGCCTTGAGCTGTCGGCGTCCCGAGCGCAGCGAGGGCGCTACTAAGGGCTCCGAGGCTTACTAAATCACGTAGTTTCCCAAGGCGACGCGTCTAACCGGCTTAGACTACAGCGCAAGTCCGTCCCGCTACAGTGTCCGTTGTAGGCGTTGCTGCCCTTCGGGATCGCGCCGGCCGGCGGCCGGCCGTTTGTACGCGTTTTTCCCTGTACGCTTTCTCTAGCGTCTTCCTAGCTCTCTAGTAGTCATGCGCTGCTGCTAGAAGGGCCTGTTCCTGGTTTCTTCGTGAGAAGAACCGCTCCAGAAGCTCGGTTCACCGTCCGCGCGTGTGGCGTCTTTTCGAATTGAAGGCGTGGTTTCCGGGGCTACGAATAGTTACCGCGGAAGAGGTCACTAACCAAAAATTAGACGTCGGCAGATTCAAATTGACCAATCAGATTTCGTAAAACGTGGATTCTAAATCCCGTATTTTCCAAGTGCGTGTTTCCATGGAGACGCCCGCCAAAAAATGGCGTCTTCGATGGGGGTGTGGCAAGCTTCCGCGCAAAGAAACTCGCTCTGTCGCTGAGAGTTCGCCGCGACGACTTCAAACTCGCTATATCCGATGCTTCTTCGATGAAAGGCCTCTCTAAGATGCAAAAAGAAACTAAACTGAAGACCTTTTTAGCTTCCCCCGGCAAGAGCGAGTCTTTCGGAAGACGGCGGACCTGGACGATTTTGAAGGCCGGCATGGCCTCCGTCTAAACAGGTTATACTGCTTGTCAATGGAAATACACGATTTAGACGGCCTCGGAGCCCTTAGTAGCGTCTTCGCTGCGCTCAGACAGCTACAGCTCAGGGCCCCTCGTGCCGTCTAAATCGCGTATTTCCATTGACGCGCAGTATAACCTATATATAGTCACCGCTAAACTCGCAATCTGATTGGTCAATTGCGTGTTACCTAAGCGTATATATACCCCGGCAGACCCGCCCCCTTCCACGCGGGAGGGGTATATATACGCTCTGCCACGTGTCCGCATACATCGCCTTCCTTAGCTTACCTGTGGCAGGCATTTCCAGTCTCAGTTGTTCACGAACTTCCTATCTTCACCTTTGTACCTGGCTTCGATGTTGTCTAGGACGGGGAGTGGCATCTCCAGCTGGAAGGCCAGGTCCTTTGCCTTCTCTAGCGTCAGTGGTCGAACGGCGCTCGCCACAGCCAGAGTGTGGAGGCCGGTGGAAGCCGCCATGACTGGGAATAGTGCAGTGGGCGGTGGACGGGAAATCCCCTTCTACTGAACAACACGGCCTTGCCCCGGGATTACGCCCACTTCCTACGGTACCATTCGGCGCAAATATAGCAATGCGCGTATATAGCAAAAAAAACTCGATGGTTTTGGCAAATATACTTTATGACACAGTTGAAAACTATAACCTAGCGTCTACCTTTTCGCGTTGGAACGAAGTAGATCTACCGCTCATAGCGCCAGCAGCGTCTCCTCGTAGTTGTGGGCGTTGCCTTCGCGTCATAAAATATCCGCACGCAATTATTCGAAATAACGCCCGCGGCAGGGTGCGCGCGTTATATTGAAGCAGCTGCGAAGGTGCGGTTTTCTTCGTTGTAAGTAGCTTGCGTTGCGCTTTCGAAGGATATGCGTAACGCAATTTTGAATTTTTGCGCCAAATGGTATATACCTTTTCCCAGAGCGGGTCACATTCATTAAGAGTAGCGTCAGAATACTGAGACAGGTTATCCCATGTACAGAGTGATTTTACAAGAAATGAAAATTTGAAGGAGAGTTTTCTAGAAAATGGTACAACGAACTGGTTACTGTTGGAACTGTTTTTTGAAGAATGTCTAGCATTTCATTTTGGTAGGCAGAAACTGGCATCAGAATTGTGGGAGGAAATAAAAGTAACCAAACACAATTTTCTATAGAGCAAACAATCTCAAATATTCTCTTCGAGATGAGAGTGTTGGAAGATTGAATACTTCAGAATAACTGAGATGCCACCGTTTTGAGATTAGGAAATTTTTGAACTGACTCAAGACTTTTCAGTTGTTGAGTATGTGGGTCCCATACTATGCTGGCATACTCCAACACAGGTCGAACAATAGCCAGGTATAATCGCAGTAAAAAGAGTGAGTTTACCTGCTTGTAAACTTTTCTGTATAGACAACCAAGTAGTCGCTTTGCCCTCTGACAGACATTACTTATGTGGGTATTCCATTTTAAGTCAGAAGTTACTAGCACACCGAGGTATTTGTAGCAAGTGACCATTTCAATGAGAATGTTAGAGAGAAACATGTCTGGCAAAGTTGATGACCTATGGGTAAGCAGCATGCACTTACACTTGGAGTTGTTGAAGGTAAGATGGTTTTCCTCTACCAAACTGTTTATTGCCGAAATATTTGTAGATCAATCCAAAATAGGCTTGTAGAGTACCAGATCATCAGCATACATAACTAGCTCACTGCAGTTGGAGAGACTCAGATGGCACATATTATGTTGACATATTATTATGAAAGCAATGGCCCAAGCACTGAACCCTGTGGGACTCCACTAAGAACATGAGATGGCTGTGATGTAGCACCGTTGACAGGATGCAATTTGTAAAAGCTGTCTATGCGGAACTGAGTCAAAAGCTTTCTTGAAGTCGAAGAAAACATCCTTTCCAGTATCAAGATAACTCTGCCAAATGTGGACAGTAACAACCAGCGCAGTTGAGGTTGACTTCCCTGGTTGGTAACTCCACTGTCGTGACGAAATTGGAAAATGTGCCTCAACATGATCCAATATGATTGAGTACATTCGTCTTGCAAAGTACTTGGTAGCAATGAAATAGGTCTATAGTTTGAAGGTGAGGCTTTATCTGATAAGTTGTTAGGGATTGGAACAACATTTCCATGCTGTATGTTGCTTGATTAGCAGATTGAATTGATTTTTTATTGGTTGACATACAGTTTCTGCAGTCTCTTTCAACATGCGAGCAGATATACGATATACCATCGGGTCCAGTAGCTTTTGCACAGTTCAAATTGTGTAATTCCATTAGTATTTCCTCCTCACTGCATAAAATACTAGAGAGGTCTGCGGCTATATCACAGTTAGAGTATTCCATACAATCGCTGTCTGTTAATGGTGGGAAAGACTCATTTCAGCATGTGCAGAAAAAAACGATTTAGAGACTCAGCTTCGGCTTCATGTTCTCCATCAACCAACATTGGTATACCGTTGCTGTCTTTACTAGCAGCCTTGTATGCTTTCCAGAAATTCTTTGAATCATAAGTGTCAATAAATTCATAATAGCTCAGTTTTGCAAGATGTACCTCTGTCGTTACCATGTTTCTAAACTTTCGATACC